ATCCCAGCAGACGCCACCCACTGCATGTATGTACGCTTTAGAGGCAAAGGGCAATTTGAGTCAAATCAGGCCAGATTTCAGTCCAGCAACTTTACATTTGCAGATGAGTGCAGTGCGGATGAAATGCTGCAGTAAACTAGGAAAACATTGAGTGTGTTGTCTTTGCATGTATTCCATTGTTTCTCTTGGCTTTGGGATTTCGGTTGCCTTCAGATTTCCCTGTGCGAGTAAACAGTAGACGCATAATTCACCACTTTCCGAATGATTCAGAGCTCATGTTCGCGAAGGAGCTGGGCAAGAAAAAAGTGGCTTTTTAAAAAACTAAAGTTTTGCACCGTGGCTGACTCGATACAGCTGGAAAAGTTAAAATTCTCCCTTTTTTGCCCTCGGGAGCTAAGCAAAAAAAAACTCGGGTAATGGGACAGGTCAGCGGCCCTAACTGGGGGGAGGAGATCTAACTAAAAGGCCAGCCTTTTTTTCCAAGATTTACAAAAGTCTACAGACCAGATGCTCTTGGTGGGTGGGTGGGTGGGTGGGTTGGAAAAATCAGTGAACGCATTAATTCTGCGCTAGAGAAACTTCGCCCTGCCTGCTCCTCGTATACTTATTATTTAGAGATTTCATTTCATATCTACAAGATTGCATTTGCAAATCTCGAAAGAAGCCTATCGCAATCCCAGCTGATAAGGTTTCAGAGGTCGTTAAATAGCATTGAAAACCTTCTGAAGAGACATAACTAAAACGCTGTTAAGAAAAATAAATAATTTACATGGCAACACTTTATATATTTTTTCGAGAGATCTATTTGACAAACAATCTAAAGTCCCGTTGCTTTCATAAAAAAAAAGAACTGTTTATTGTTCAGTGCATGGATTGAATATGGATGAAGTCTTTTGATTCCGGACATACCTTGCAAGGCAGCTCCTAAAACCACAGAACCTAAAAAGTACAAGAATAACAAAGTCATTCAGCTTAGCTGCATGTGACAGGTAGAGCTGAACCGTGTGGGCAATGGTAATGCATTCCCAAATGCCTCGAGGAGAATAAGTCGGGAGGTTGCGGCTCTAACATCACACTGTCACCGGCTTCCCCTCTCTATGGCCCGGTCTGAAAGGACTCGACCTCCCGCTGAAGGCACTTCTCCCCCCCCCCCCCCCCCCCCCCCCCCCCCCCACACACACCCCACACCCACCTCCCGCCTCACACACACACAAACTATCCCTGAAGACGCATTTAATCTGCTTTTTCCCCTTGAGTTCACGCTGCAAAATTATTATTTTCTCAGCACTTTTGCACAACAATCATCTGCTCTGACAAAATGCCTCTCCCTCTCCCTCTCTCTCTCTCTCTCTCCGAGGGAGAAGCAGAGAGCAGAGCAGAGCGAGTGAGTGAGTGAGGACTCGGGCGGGTGGTAGCAATGTGCGTGTGTGTGTATATTCCTGGGCCAGTCGATCATTTTGCTGTCTCTTTATCTGTCGACACTATCACTTAGCCAAACATTGACCGATCGATCTTTTCATTAGGTGATCAAACAACAAACAGAGCAGGTGAGAAGCTTACTTTGTGAAGCTCACAACTTATCCGCGCCTTGCTTTGAGGCCGCTCTTGATTTCCTACAAGATCATATACTTAAATAGGGGTGTGTGTGTGGGGGGGGGGGGATTCCCTGTACCACATATGTTACAAACACACATCCCTCATTCTTACTCTCAAGATCGGCGACGATAGCATTGAGAACTATATATATATATATACACACTTATATCCAGATGCTATCACAGACATTGCAATTCCACGTTACACACAATCAACACGACTTGGAACAACACTCCCACGGCCGTAGGGTGAAACTATTCAGTGTACTGCAGCCTGCCCAGTCGATATAACAGTCTTATTGCTGTAATGCGCGATAGATACGATAATAATCGTTTTATTCACATCAACAGGCGTTGATGAATTTATGTTAAAAATATATATGTTTTTTGGAGTTTTAAGGTTTAAACCCTGTGCGTGAAAGGTTAACCAATGCCCCGATGGTCACACACTCAGATTTTCCTTGGAGCGGCACTGCTAAAATAAAGAGTCTGATGCAGAGACTGAAAGTAAAGCTGTTACTTGCCTCTGCTGCTGGGTTCTCCCTCTCCTCGGTTACAGGTGCCCGCTTTAAGCTCTTTACACTCCAACCAAGTTGCAGGATAGAGGCAGCCTTCCTCCCAGTGACCACTCTGCCCCATTCTGAGGAGGAAAACCCCGATGATACACTTACAGAATTTTCTCTTTGTCCCTTCTAATCTTATTCGTTTCACCTTTTCACTAATCATAAGACGTGAGTGAGACTTTATTTGGAGAGCCAGGGGGAGAGAGAGAGAGAGACTGGGTCCACTGTTGCATAGTCAATAACGGCGTTTCATCAATGCATATACAATAGGGGCGGTTGGGGATGGAATCGGATTGTAAATTGGGTTTTACTCAGGATGCAGTCTTGGCAGCGATTTAGAAAATGATGTGAGAAACCCAGTCAAATACCAATATGTTTGTCTGTTTCCTTTCCATACTGCCAAAGGCCTCTGATGTTGCTTGTTTATTATTAATATAAAATATGTATAGAGCTGTGAAGCTCGGAAAAGCTGAGCTTTGCGCTGTGTTCCTCTGTAAATTATGCACCTCGAAGGAATGATCACAATAGTTTTTATTATCATTACTATTATTATTATAGGCACAGTACGTCTCACTTATAACAATTTTTCCAGCGAGAGGCGCACGAGTTTAATCAGAGATGAGTCGTTTTTCGCTGTCCTGTTGTGTAAAAAAAACTGCTAAGAATATTTTTAAAAATCAGCCGAAAGTTTTAAGTCTTTCCGAAGTTGAGTTTTGTACAACAAGGCGCAGCGGAACTTTTAAGAGAAACAGCAATGGTAATGGATGGTTTGAATCATAGCTACGACTTATTTCTCAAATGTAGTGATCAGCGCGCAGTCTGAACTTTCAGCGTTCAATACCATTTTCTTTTTTTTAAGCATTTGAAAAATCTGCAAACACATATTTTTTAAAAAAAAAACAAATTATTCGCGGCAAAAGCATTGCCTAATTTTTTTTAAAAAAAAGCCCATCTGGTGGGTTATCAAGCTGGGCATGTGTATTATATTTGATAATTGTCTATTGTACGCTAGATGGCAGCCGGATACAGCTGTTCTGAGATTTAATTCACGTCAAATACAAGGCACGTTAACAGCCTCCGCACTTTACACTGGACTTATCCTACAGTTACAAGCACAGCTCCCCAGTCTACAACACAATGGCAACTTTCCCTCTTTCCCAAATCACGATTGAAACCTCACCGGGCATCGTACCGAGATATCAAAGCCTAATGCGATACCAGAATAAAAGAAAGAAACATTCGCTCCAGCCCCGATTAATATTGCAACAGCAAAGGGGGGGGGGGGGGGTGTATTCCTCTCTTTTTATTATTATTTCAACACAAAAGGGGGCGAGATGCCCGCTTTTGTTTGTTTATTTATTTATTTCTTTATTTGCTTATTTTATTTTAACAATGCTCCATTAAAAAAAATACCTCCCCCACCCCACCCCACCCCACCCCACCCCCACCCCCACCCTCCCCCCAAAAAAGTTTCATTGCCAAGTAACTTTTCATACAACAAAGTGAAATAATTGCACTCCGCGTCTCTTTTTTTTTGGGTGGTGGTGGTGGTGGTGGTGGGGTGGGTGGGGGGGGTTGTTGGTGAGGTTGCTTCGCTGTATTGTTTTATTACAAGCCCAGTGTCCTCGCGTTTCTTTTTTCTCTCTCTCTGTGTGTGTGTGTGTGTGTGGGTGACCACAGACGACCCATACTAATAAGGTCTCAAAGTAAATACCAGCGCAGGAGATCTAATGTAAATTTTGCTTGTCAGAGCGTCGTAGGTAATAAATAAGACGGCTAACCAATGGTGTGCAGGAGGCTGGCTAACCTTAGCCTCCCCAGCCCCAATTCAGGGCTATGACCAGTCGCCTTTGATTATCAGTTGCCAACAGCCCCTCTCTTGGCTCCTTGACATGAGCTCCATATAAGGCAGCGATCTCCATAGAAACGTGTCAGTTTCAATAGTAGTGTCAAAGTTCACTATATACAGACATTCGCGCAGATCCCCCTTTCGGAAAAATTGCTCCGCTAGTCTTCCCGTTTAAACGCATTCATTTTGTCTCCCCCTTGCATATTCTATTAGTTGTTTTTTTTTTCTTTTCCTCTCTCTTTCTCTCTCTCTCTCTCTCTCTCTCTCTCTCTCTCTTTCTTCTCTCTCTCTCTCTCTCTCTCTGTCTTTCTCTCTCTCTCTCTCTCTCTTTCTCTCTTCCTCTCCTCTCTCCCCACTCCGCATGAGAGGTGAAAATAGGGCGCTTTTTTAACGTCGACCGTCTTTTTTGTCCTGGTGAGTTGTTGTTGTGTGTGTGCGTGTGCGTGTGTGTGTGTGTGTGTGTGTGTGTGTTTTTGACAATTCAGAATATTCTATTTTTTCTTCCTCTCCGAAGAAGAAGAAGAAGAAGAAGAAGAAGAAGCAGAAGAGAAGAAGAAGAAGAAGAGACGAAGAAGAAGCAGAAGAAGAAGAAGGGATTGATACTCGCCATACTTTACTTTGGATCGCGTGGTTATTTTTTGCTCCTTCGAATGCAGATCGCCTCTTTTTCTTTCCCAACTCCTAATCTTTAACCCACCCCCACCCCCACCCCCCCACCCCTTACCAACACCCACCCACCCCTGTCCCCCTTCCTATATTGGTGTCCTGGATGGCTGGCTGTGTATTGCCCTGGATTTGGCCCCCCGACACTTACATACCCTGATCGGGAAATTTTTCCCTATTATTTTTTTCATCTCCCCCCAAACCCCCCCCCCCCCACCCTGCCCACCCCCCCACCCCCACCCCCCCCCACAACCTCCCTCCCTCCCTCCCCCACAACCAACCCACCCACCCACTACCACCACCACTACCACCCCGTTACTGTTGATCAACACTCACTCATTCACTGCGCGTTGTGTGTGTGTGTGTCTGTGTGCGTCGCTTGATCGCAGTTTATTCCTCCGATCCTCTCTTTTTTTGGGGGAGAGGGGGAGGAGGAGGGGGAGGGGGTAACATCATTTTTTTTTTACCACCATCCCAACTCTGCTCCTTACCAACAGGACACGCACACGCCAAAAAAAAAAAAAAAAAAAAAAAAAAAGCCGTGCGATTAACTTGTTTTCCCGCACTTTTTGGGCCCGAGATATGGCAATGGTAGTTAGTACTTGGCGAGATCCTCAAGACGACGTGGCCGGGGCTCAGGGCGGCCAGTCTGCACAAGCGCAGCCGGGCCAGCAGCCACAGCAAGCGGCCACGGGCGCTCCCCACACCCCGCAGACCCCGAGCCAGTCGGGGCCGCCCTCCACCCCGCTCGGAGGCAGCAGTCAGGGCGGCCAGCCAGGCACCGAGAAGCAGCCCAGCCAGCAGCAGCAGCAGCAGCAGATCGAGTGTGTGGTCTGCGGGGATAAATCCAGCGGCAAGCACTACGGCCAGTTCACATGCGAGGGCTGCAAAAGTTTCTTCAAGCGAAGTGTTCGTAGAAACTTAACGTACACATGTCGTGCCAACCGGAATTGTCCTATAGACCAGCACCACCGCAATCAGTGCCAGTACTGTCGCCTGAAGAAATGCCTCAAAGTTGGAATGAGGCGGGAAGGTGAATATGACTTTATATTAGCGATGTATTTTAATCCCCCTTTGCAAAAAACAAAAAAGTCAGATCCGTGCTTTCTGTCTGTATACGTGTTTGGGGTTGCGCGAGTTTGGTTCAACCTGACCAAATATGCTGCCTGTAAAGTAATTAGAACGATAATGAAGTTAGCCTGTTAATTATAACGTATAATTGCTTGTAAAATAATCATTATTTGAAGGTTAGCCGCCAGTGTAGGTTCATCTCAGCAAAAAGAAACAAATGCAACTCTTTTGCATCAAGTTGGAAAAAATAATTCCAACTCGCTAATTCAAAGTTGGGAGAGTTTAGCAATTACAAGCATGGCTGCGTTATGCATTTTTGGAATCAAAATGGTTAATAAATCGGACCCTTTATGTCACTCTAATTGTAAGTTAATCTTTCGCATTCAGTGGATTGTGTGTTTGGAAATTTTTCGCAGTTGTATCTGTGGGTGGGTGTTGCAATTTAGGGAGTTTTGCAATCCTGCAGTCGCTTGTGTAAAGCTGCGCGTTTAGTGGGATTAAACAGACATAATGTGGAGTGCTCTGACTGGTAATGCCTTATTGAACATTAATACATTTCAGAGGGCTATTTCCTATAATGTCTCCGCTTGATATTCTGATATCATCATGAGTGCTATTGTCTGTGGGATTTGTATTATTTTTCAAAAAATGCAAATTAGACGGAAAATGAATTATTTTAAGCTCGTAGTCGGTTGTTCGGCATTCTGTGGATGTACATTTCCTCTCCTTTTTTTCTCTTTCTGTCAGCGGTTCAGCGAGGCAGAATGCCTCCAACTCAACCGAACCCAGGCCAGTATGCGTTGACGAATGGGGACCCTTTGAACGGCCATTGCTATCTGTCTGGATACATCTCCTTGCTACTGCGGGCCGAGCCTTATCCAACCTCCCGGTATGGAAGTCAATGTATGCAACCCAACAACATCATGGGTATTGAGAACATTTGCGAGCTCGCTGCACGATTGCTTTTCAGCGCAGTGGAATGGGCCAGGAATATCCCCTTTTTCCCAGATTTGCAGATCACAGACCAGGTGGCTCTGCTAAGGCTGACTTGGAGTGAGTTGTTTGTGCTTAACGCTGCCCAGTGCTCGATGCCGTTGCATGTGGCTCCTCTGCTGGCTGCTGCAGGGCTCCATGCCTCGCCAATGTCTGCGGACAGGGTCGTTGCCTTCATGGATCACATAAGAATCTTCCAAGAACAGGTCGAGAAACTGAAAGCCCTCCACGTCGACTCAGCAGAATACAGCTGTCTCAAAGCCATCGTGCTATTCACGTCAGGTGAGTGGTTTCAAGAGGGAACAAAAGTTCAGTAAAATAGATCTAAATCAATCGCGTTCCTCGTTGCCCCCTCTCCTTCAGTGCAATCCTACTGCAGGATAAATAAGGTTAAATACATATAAATTATTTGGGTGCATGATGCTTAATTTATGTATAAGATGGTATTAGTCAAGTACTATAACAATGATTTATTTTAACCAGGAGGCTTCTATTAAATGGCATAATCTGATGTAAATCAATTGGAAATTGATCAATAAATATTACAGATTAATCATCTTTCCAGCAACCCCCAAATCTTGATAAATTATTGTTTCATACAACATGGATGTTGTGGGAAATAGAATAAGAAAAACAAAAGGGAGAAAAGAGAGCATTATTGGTCGTGGGGTTATTACGAAAGGGCAAGGTAGAAAATAAAGCAGGTCTGTTTAAATTCTCCACATTTGAAACCTCCCCTCCCTCAGCTTTGACCAAACTTGTTTTGATTGTTAGCCAGAGGGGAATTCATGGGAAGCCTTTCTCAAAGCTGACCACGTTTTCCAATGGAAAGAGCGTTTGGGTGATCGAAAGGACATTTTTTGTCATTTTTTTTTTCGCTGGGCTGTTTGCTAAGGGCCGCTTGAAGTTGCTGGAGCTTGTAGGGGGCTTGTTGTGATTTTACCTTAGGTCCGGATAGTATTTTCAACCACTCGATCTGGATGCTTTCCAAGGCTGGGTCGTGACCCAAACTTCCTATTTTACTTTATTAATTCATCCACTAAAATATGTCTCCCGAGCAAATAAAGCTTTCACAAAAAGTCAAAGGAGCGTTTTGTAAGGAAAACGCAGCACTCTGGCCAAAATAACTCTACGCTCAGTTGTTGATAAACAACTTGGTATCCACTAAGAGTTCATGCATATTTAGCATTTTAATTCTGGAGTTTAGTTTTAAATTTAGCTGTGTTATTTTGCAGGATATTATTGCGTAACGCGAGCCTTCAAGGAATAATAATTCAGTGATTATTGTTATTATTGCTATTTTCACTAGAAGGCATTAGTACATTAATTTCAAAAAGGTTGCCAATAGCATAACTGCCATGTCCCCATAATTATAACAGCACCAAAGTCCACTGTTGCACAAAGGGGTTCCGAGAGCCTGTGCAAGATATTATGATAGATTTGCTTTTGTAATTGATGAATGCCTGGCTGCATGTCTCGTTGTTTATCACATATCCTTTTTATATTCGGTACACGATTACACCATATATCACAGAGTTGATGAAAAGCTACATTGCCCTGGAATGTAAAGGAAGTGTGTGTAACGCATACAGTAAAGGAATAGAAACAATAACCCTGTACCAATATCTGTCACATATTGTTTCCAGGCACTGGTGTCTCTGGATCGGTTCTCTACGGGAAATGGCGTGCATCTGTACTTATTATTTAAGAGTGTCTTTGTTACCTATAATTCAAAGCTTATGCTGCATACGATTTTGCCATCAGACTGTTTGAATCGGCCGCAATGTTTGCAACAAAAACAACGTGTTATCTTAAGCTTGTCCGCCTCCAGCTTGCGGAGAGCGCGGGTGAGTGAGTGAGTCGGTGTGTGTGTGTGTGCGTGTGTGTGTGTGTGTGTGTGTGTGGATTTATATAAAACAAAAAAAAAATGAGGATTAAAATAAAACAAAAGATCTGCCGATAGCGGTACTAATTCTGTTTTTCTTTGGCTGTCAAGATGCCTGTGGCCTGTCGGATGCTGCCCATATAGAAAGCCTGCAGGAGAAATCTCAGTGTGCTCTAGAGGAATACGTGAGAAGCCAATACCCGAACCAGCCGAGCCGCTTTGGCAAGCTCTTACTGCGGCTGCCTTCCCTCCGCACCGTGTCGTCTTCGGTTATTGAGCAGCTGTTCTTCGTCCGTTTGGTAGGTAAAACTCCAATTGAAACCCTCATCAGAGATATGTTACTGTCGGGGAGCAGCTTCAACTGGCCTTATATGTCCATCCAATGATGAGAGAAGGACTCCCCCCTCTCCTCCCACCCCCCACCAACCCCACCACCACCCCACCCCCACCCCCCCCCCCCCCCCAACAAAAAAAAAACAGGCATTTTAGGCGAGCCTCCCTCTCTATTCCAGGACTCGAAAGTTCCTATAGGATCATATCTGTGAAAATAAAAGGACCTTCCAAGAGGCCAAACTGTTGACTGTGGGATTTATTCTGTGAAACAAAAAAGGAACTGAACTGCATCCTATGTAGAACCACACTTACCACAAGCAATGCTTATCATTTTGTAAAATATTAGTCTTTATTTTCCATTTTTTTGTAAAATTAAACAAAAACATCGTATGCGCATTTAAAAGACAGAATCAAGAGATTAGGGGGAAAATAACATTTTCCAAATAATTATAAATTGTCCTGTGTCTATGTATCTATATCTGTTTTGTATTTTTTTTCTGGTTCAAAACCAGGTTTCGTGTGATTCCTATACTAATAATTTTTGATATAACCTTTTGCTTCTTATAATGAGTGAGATTTATGTCGTCAAAGCTATGTTCTCCAAGAATTAAAATTGAAATCAGAATGGAAAAAAAAATAAAATGAATTTAGCACAAAATAAAAAAAAGCTTTTTGTCGCTTTAAGCGTACCAACTGGCCTGCAATCCTGGCGAAACTGAACGTTTTTTTTAAAAAAAGTGATCAGATTGAAAGAGAGAGAGAAAGAGAGAGAGCACTGCGAGATGTTAATACAAAAAAAAAACGTGTTTTCCGAACTGTCACACACTGTGGGCACTCTTGAAACACTTTTTTTTTGATTCCGTGTCTATTCCCACTATCTTTATAGAAACAAGAGTTTGGGCCGAAGTGTCCAAGACACTTCTTTGATTTTTTTTCACAAAAAAAGTCTGAGAGCTCTGAAGTTAGGTTAATCTAAGTTTTTGATATGTGTTCAGAGCCGACCTTGATTTAAGTCTCTTTTTGTTACGAGAACGAGTTGTACCCTCAGTTGTCGCCAACTTTCCACGTGGCAAAAACTGCATTTTTTGTTTGTTACCCCCCACCCCCCACCCAACCCCCCCCCCCCCACCCAGTTTTTTACAGTGTATCACAACTTTCGTATCAGTACTGTCAAGCCGATTTTACCTGTAGACTTACTTTAAAAAGGAATACAATACCTAGAAAAAAGTACAGGCGTTTTACCCGTGCAAACAACGCTGTACATTGGCATTGTCCTGTGGGTATGATGGAATATTCTTGTAAAAAATGGTTGTTATGTTGGAACAGTTACAAAAGTGATATAAAGAGATCTATCGCAGCTGTGTCTGTGTTATCTGTTCGGTGCTGATATTCTTCTCCTCTCCGTGACCCACAAAAGGTTTTGAGGGAACTCTTATTGCACAAATCTATGACAATTAATTGGCGGAGCATTCATAATTATATACTCTTAGTCATTTTATAATTAATTCCATTGAAGTCATGTGCTGGGTGTATCTGAATATAAAAATATTCGAAAGAAGATTTGAAAGAGCCCACAGCTTCCAGACAGTGGCTTTTGGAGATGTAAAGACTGCAGTGCCTTTGCTCAGTAGAAGGTTATGCAGAATTCAGTTGCTGCTTTCATTAATGTTTTATAATCCGGGTCAAAGCTCCAGCACACACTGCCATGAGAGAGCTTTCTTTAGCAACTCTGCATCAAAAATAAACCTAACAACCGACCCAGAGTAAAAAGAGCACGAGGCACAATGTGAATCGGGAGAGTGGCTGGAAGTGTGTGTGTGTGTGTGTGTGTGTTTTAATTTTCCTCTATGTGCTCTCAAGCTTTCTCTTTGCATTTAACGAGATCCTGCTATCTGGCCGCTTGGGGTTTTTAACATTCTCGACGCAAAGCTGCAGGATACACAAGGCGATGACTATAGACACTTTTAGATGGAATAATTAACGACGTAAATAGATTGTCTATGTATGTCCTGATACGCATGTATTAGAAACACCCATGACCACAGATTGCAGCGGTAACACATGTACATACCTGCACACCCGCGTCCATAAAGAACCAGAAATAGGCAGAGCTGAACCGTGGCTGTACACCTCTTGGTTGCACTTAACATTACGGATATTTCAGGGTGTTTTTTTGTTCCGATCAGAGCTGTTTCACTTGGCTCTGACTCCAACTTATTGTCTGGTTTTGTTCTGAGTATTGCCCCTAGGCCCCTCTTTGCTTCAACCCCGACTTTTACATTACCCTTTTACCACCGCCCATCGACATCAAAGCCCTAATATATAATGATTTTTCATCGTTTCACCGTTAAATCCAATTAAAATACTATTTAAACTTGTTAGCATAGAATATGACAGGGGCGTCCGGTGATATTTCATAACACGTCAGGAGCTATGGAAGATAGCGGCTTATTTCTAAATACAATGTTTCTATTTTGCAGCACAATTCCCAATTACAGGACTTATTTGAATTCACTTATATAGACAAATCTGCTCTATTTCATGGCACTGTTCACCAGACCCGATGGCAGCCTGATGTGTGACCACCTTGTGTTCTTTAATACCGTGCGATATCATTCTATAGAAATTAATAACTTTGATGTTGTCTGTAATGATAATTAAACACTCTGTTGACGCAGCTCTGACACTATATAAACACCGCACTCCGTGTGTTTTTTTGGGGCTAAAGGTAACTTGTACGTTGTGCAGAATATCTGCTAGATTGTTTTAAAAATATATATTATTTTTAATTGACACCTGCTTTTTAACCTGCGCAGTCTTTTGCAGGACTGATGGTATTAACCTCAAACCTAGTCCGTTCTAGACTCCCTACCGGCAGTTCTCCTTCTTCCTATTATAATTGTATTTTATTTTTAATTTCCTTTTCAAGAAATTCAACCAAGCCGCCATCTGAGAATCCTCTCAATGGAGTATACTCAATGAAGTATTCAAATATTAGCAAATCCTTGAAAAACCAATGTGTACACCACTGTTGCAAAACATTAATGTTTAACCTGGAACTGAATGCTAATTTCAACTTCGTGCTCGTGAAATTGACATTTTTGAGTTGCATTTGCCTTTATGTATTGTGTTTCAGTCAAAGTAAAACATTGATTGATTGCAATGGGGGGTGACGAACATATTTATTGTTAAAGGTTGTTCTTTTCTTCCTGGAGAAATTGCAGCCCAGTGCAATACTTTAATGGTGTGTGAAGCCCGGCTCATTTAAAGCAGATGGAAGCAAACAAACATGGCTGCCTTTAACAGACTTTAGATGCATTTGAGAAAAAGGCACTTCTTTCCCTCAGTCCTTCCCTGTGAAACAGACAAATAGCCCAATCCCCTTGGAAGCACAATCTATAGCTTCATTTCTGTCCTCATAATTCACTGAACAAAATCTAGAAAGTTTGATGTGTGGTCAAGTATTAAATGATCCGAAAAATGCGTGTGCCACACTTTCGTTTCCTGGAGACAGTCCTCTAGTTATTTATAATTGTTTAATTTCACTTAAGATATATATGTACTACAATAAGTTTTATATTAAAACTTCTGCCAAGTGTCACTTTAATGAACCATCTCTCCACACTTCGTCGAGCACACTTAAATGTAGCTTTCTGTTCCCTTCTCCATTTCAGATAAATCCCACTGCAAATATTTATGTTTTTTTACTATTCTTTTGTTTCTTCTGACAATAAAATCTACTTTGGTTTAAAAAAAAGAGTGAGAATATTCCTATTTTTTTTCACTGAGACGGTTTTAATAAGATGTTACCTTTGACTTTTACATCTAAACTTTACAGCGGGGTTAAACACCAGACAGAGAGTGGATTAATGCTGTGACTGCGAAACAAACTACAACAATTTAGGCTCTTAATTAAGAAGAAATGTTTCTTTCCTGTCGGAATATTCCGCGGTTTCATACATTAAAATGGCCAAAAAAAAACCTAGGATGCACAAGAAAGGAGTTTGGGACATTTTAGCTGAGCCAATATGCTTTACATTATCCAAACAAACTAAAAAAAAGCTGGTCTTTTTGGGAGGGGATGGGGAGGGGGGCTTTTATTACTGCTAATGATAATTACTCTTTGAAAATGGCAATGAACTATTAAATAACACAAGGAAGGTGCTTGTCTTTCAGTATGATGTTAGTGTACTTTTAATAAAACGTGAAAACAGTTGTATTTTGTTCTTGTAATAAATCATGTGCACTTGTTTGCAATTATGTTTTGATTCTTTTCACGATACGTTACATTGATTTGTGGACCCAACAAAAACAAAGTCAAGAATGACTGGATTCGGGACTTCTGGGTTTATATTTTTTACTTAGTTTGCCTGCATTTTCTTTCAATCATTCTGTCCAATTCGTGCTCTCTTTTTGACCGAATCTTCCCTCTAACAAATCGTCCGACCTCTCAATTCGCAGTTCGCCTGATTTTTTAAAATGCACCGATATCTCGTTTGCCTGAATTTTACCACCAGCACCTCTTCTCGATCTCTTTCCCTTGAACTCACCCATAAAAAAAGAAACCTTGTCTTCTTTCTTCCCCGTTTTTGTTTTGCATTTGCTTGAATATGTAACCTCGTCCTTTGCTCATTTTTTCCCTTTTTGAATTCACCCTTAAACACGTGATCTGTTTGCCCCCATTTCTTAGCCCTGAATCCAGTCTCTCAACCAGGTTGTCCAGTCCCTTTTAAGTGGATTTTAAGCTGCTGTAACCACAACGTTTGTTTAAAAAATCAAAAAGGGTCTCCCTCAGGGATCCAACTATGCAAAGGCTAAGCACTGTCTGCCTGCCGTTTGAAACATTTCTTTTAATAACTGTGTATATATTACAGTTCCAGTTGAGTGAAGTGAATTTATTTTCATACCACCTGTCCATCCTTACTGCTTAACTCTGTCACTATTTTTGCACTTTTTTAAAAAAAAATCAAATTAAAAAGACACTTGATCAGCTTGATCTCAAACTGCAAAGAAAATCCATTGGTATTACGTTCAACATAGTTTGAGAGAAAGTGAAAGATTCATATTAATCCTCAAAAGTAGTTTGTTTTAAAACACTCCACTTAAATTGAACCCCCCACCCTCACCCGCGTGTTTGCGTAAAAAAGCTGGTTTATTTTACAAGCACATGTCATTTGTCAAATATGAGAAGTATGTTTATCTTCTAATACGTTTCCATTTAACTTCTCGCATTTCCAAACCACAAGTATTTTCACAAAAAACAACAACCTATTACGTGCATCAACGCTAGAATTTCCTCAAATTCTGGGAAATCTCTGCACCAATGCGATTTTGCATTGATGCGCTGGTCACTGCAGCGATTGACTGACGTTTGGACTTAATGCTAAAAATTCTGGGTGAAGGAGTGGAAACTAATAAAACTCTTTTTAAATTGTGATTGCTCTGGATACATGGCGTCGCCGTGTCTTTCACTTAGAGAGCCAAGAGTTTTATTCCTAAATGAGTTAAAGACCCATTTACCGATGTCGTGTTCTATTCATCAACCTACAAGTCGAGAGTCTAACATGAAACTATTTGTTTGCTTACACAACCAGCTGGGCGCAATTTCACGTCTGAGATATCCATCTGAAAGCAGGTCTCATTTATTATCCCCACTTGTCAGAGAATACATTTCAAACCCATTACACCGAGGATTCCGAGTTCCAGCACCCCTGTCCCACACACAAAAATCAGCAACCCCAAATTTCACATGATGTACCTCACTTATATTTTTTACAGCGTGTGCAAGGACACATCCGACAGTTACAGTCTTGGGTACCGAATTGCAGACTTTGGCTTGTTTCTCTAATTGAGATTTATTTCGTGGTTGCACTTAGGGGAGGAAAGCTACAAGACTTCTAGAAAAGTTTGCTTGCCCGTTCTTCACAGACACAAATAAAATGCAATGTCATTTATTGGATACTTCATGGATCGAAACATTGTGTTAGCTGACATCTTCTCCATGTATCTATCATCTGTGTTCTGAATCAATGTCCATTCTAAGGTATCTCGTGTAAAAGACACGGGCTCGGCCCTATTGCAGCGGGCAAGCGGTTCAGACTTGAATCAGGGATTATTAAAAAAATGTAAAACAACCACACAAACACCACAGTCAGGAGAGAGACAGATGGAGCTTGATACAATGCTTGTGAGGTACAATGTCCCCATCGAAAAATATTTGTTGAAATGGTATTCAACTAATAGGTATATATCCTGGTGTATTAATACAATGCATTGCTATAAATATTGCTTTCATGTTTGTTGACAAACTGAATTGAAATAAAGATGCTGTACAGAAAAATAAAATAAAAATAAGATTATTATCAATTCTCTTTCTCTCTTGTGTGTGTGTGTGTGTGTCTTGATAAACCAAATGCAGCCGGGCTATCAGAGGCTAGTCCATTCGAAGGGAAGATGATGGCTGTATAACTGTGTATATATCTTCTTGTCTACAGAGCCCAAGATCAAGCTTAGGCAATGGATCAAATAAAAGCTGCAGGATATAAAATATCCCAGTTGTGAAAGGCTTCTCCAAGAGGGTAGCGGGGTGGCTGCTGTAAGCGATCCGTTTGTGTTGATTTAGAAAGACGTTTGCTGTATATAACATTCAAGGCTGATAATATCATTGCTCGGGCAGATAAATAAAGCATTCATTGCCCAAACCATTGGGTCAGTTATCGATCCCTGTGCACACACACACACACACACACACACACAGCTCCAGTCTTCACTGCAAAGCCTCATTAGCATTCCCGGCCCATGGTCCTGCATTGACAACTAACAGAGATATCTATGTCCTCGCTATTTGTTCTCTCATTTGGTGTTCATTCTTCTTTCTGCAGGGGCTGAAATTTCCACAAATGTTAGTGATACTATTGTATGGAAGAAATAATAATCAATACAGTTTGGGGGAAAGCATGGGATTGCTCAGCAGTAGCGGGCACATGTGTATGTGCTTACATGATATTTCGCCTGGATTTGTGTTTTCTGTTTCCAGGCTGATAATCACATGTTAAATGGATGAAATGAATAAAGCAATCAGGCCATTTTCTGGCACCAGGCATTAAATTGTGGTTTCACACGCTGTGTGACGCTACCCATTTCTTCAGCTGTCACTATTCTGTCTGGGTTTTCCTTCCCTGATTTCACTTTAATAAGTGCACACATTGAACAAGACAGAATGATTCTATGGCGAGTCACCAGCAATGTGTTGAACCCGAGAAGACACTTCGAGTGTACCTGATACCCTCAATCCACGCAACTGTTCACTTGTACACTATTTATTCTCTACAACAATTGTTACTATTTCTGCATCTTAACTATTATAGGTTGTAAACCACAGTTATTTAATGAACAAAGCAATCTCTAATTGCCCGAGAATTGCAAATGCGCAGAATACACAAATATAGAAGGATATTGAATCCAACCTTTAAAAAGAGAGATTGTTATCATTCTGAAACTTCACTTCCAAGTTTTCTCCCTTATTCTCTAAGCCCTGTTCCTCGCTTGCTTTGTTGTTTTAAAATATGCATGTCGCTCAGGAATGCCAGTCACGAGTCCAAACTTTGTGTCCAACCTCCCACATGAAATGATCCTTTTATAAGGAACCCGATATGTCTCAATCTGCACTTAACTGAGAACCTGTGGGTATGGGGCGGCAGTCCCTTCTCAAAAACTCAGCACCGAGATTCTTCCCAAAACCCCAGGCTTTTTCACAGGAAAGAAATCTAGCAAAAATAATTAAAGGAGGCAGCGGCCAGAGGGGGATGTCTGCAAAAAGTAAGAGTTTTATTTCTTTTGAGATTGGACTTGGGTTGTCATTGAGTACAAATTTATCAACACGTGGCACTTGCATTTGAGTGGTGTTTGTGTGTATTTGTGTGTGAGACGCAGAGAGGGCGACTGAGATAGAGTAAACAAAAGCGAGACTACAGAAAGTAAGGAAGAAAGGAAAACGGAGTTGATTTATAGTGCTGTGATTCTGCAATAATGAAAAGGTGAATTCACAGGAAAATGCATACGTCAGAATAGAAAGTGGTGTATGAAGAGATATTTAAGACGGAAAGCCAATAAACAAGATGAGAGAGTGAAAAGAAGTGAAAGGAAGGAGATAGAAAAAAAAGAAGCTTTTGTTTGTAGACCTGGGGTTCAGTGCATGGCACAGTAAATGGAAACAGGCAGATGACAGAGTCAGAGCAGAGTGGAAAGGTTTCACTGGTAGATCTGACAAGGCACAGAAGATGCTCTCGGCTCGAGTTTCTCTGTAGTCTTAGTGCAACGAGTCTGAACAGAATGAAACTTTTAACAGTCAGGAGAAATGTCAGGAGATTCCTTCTGCCATATCTCCTCATCACCAACAGTGACGTCAAGACATTTCTAAAAGACATCACGTACCGAGTGCAGGACGTGTGTGTCTGTATAAAATACCTTTATAAATTGTGTATTTTCTGCACAGGCCGCACTGGTGGGCATGCAAAGATGTGGCCTGGACCATGACGTGATTGATGTGACACCTTTCCTTACTTTCACCACATACACATATCCTAACACATCGTGAGCAGACAGTCCAATCCTTACTGGGGCTGCTCACACCTTGGCTTTCTGAGATAATACCGCAGCCGTTTGAGTATATAGCAGCCAGGCAGCGACTCCTTAATCAGCTATCTCTTTAAATGTTATTTGAAAACATTCTGCTGCAATTACACACCATGCTGAGACCAGTTTTATTAGTGCCCTGCTTTTAATGCAGTCACACTTACTACAAAGTTACCAGCACTTGTGTTGATAACAATCCCTCTCTCTCTCTCTCTCTTTATCTTCCCTATGGATAAATACACGCACACTGTCCCGACTACTCTTCCAGTTTCCACACAATAATTTGAAACTTCGAACTGTACATTCTCAGACCAAAAAGACGCACATTTTACAATTCCGTTGTTCAGTATTATAAATAGGGGAAGCGACTGCTTATAATGTAACCATTTTATTTAGGGGCAATATGCACACGACAGTCAGGACCGTAAGGATGAACGTACAAGAATGTTACGTTTCAACATTTTAATAATTTTAGCAATTTCTCCGATGGTTTAAAAAAAAACTCCGAGGTGCTCGTTTGATAGATCTGGTTTACACTGCAACGTCGCTGAGTTTAATGTATCTAAACTAACAGTCGTTTAGCTGACAACATGGGCGGACTAGAACCTTTCCAGCCTAATACATGTGTCCAGTCACTATATGAAACCTGAAAAAAAATAACATCTGACTTCCTGAAATGTCATGTGCGAGGTAAGTCTATTTTAAACGCTGAATCCCTTTTCAAAAGGAAGAGGATTTCATGAACCAGCACACACAGAGGTTAGTGCATTCAGGACATGTTATTATTACGTGAAACCAGAACCGTTCACACACCGTCTTTAAACATCACAGCATTTGCTGCCTCGGAGCTGCAATATACACAGCGATTTTTTTTTGAGAGCAAAAAAATGAGATCTGTTTGGCGAGCAGTAATGTTTAAATGCGAATTTGCTTTAATGTAATTGTACATGGGGACCGACAGGCGTGGAGGCTGGGTGAATGATGTTGTGGTTAATATTCTTCTAATTTAGAATTTATTTACCTAATTTCTCAGCATGGCTCCTATTTTTCTTTATAATGGATGGCTAGAGCTTTTTGTTGGATTTTTTTTTTTCGCCTTCACGTTTAAGCTGTAGTGTTACAGATTGAACGTGTAGCCAACTATACATCATGATATAATCAGCCTTCCACCCCCCACCCCTCCTCCCTCCCTCCCCCCCCCACCCAACACACTCCCCACCCCCTTGAAGGGGGACGCGGACTCTTACTAATTCCCCAATATGTCTATAATAAAAGCGGCGCAGTCTTTGGTGAATTAGCAGCCTCAATGTTTCGCAGATGTGCCACTTAAACCAGAACTTGACCCTATGATTCCCTCGTAAATAATCCACTACTAAACGTTCCCGTCAACATACATTTTCCTACCCAAACAAGCAGTTCATAAGGGAAAATGCAAATGCATAGATTTAAAAAAAAAATCACAGCCACACAACCGAACAGAAAATACCTTGAGCAGCAACACTGGCAGCAAGTCGACACGTTTTTTTTTAAAGATGCGCCCAGGTAGAGGCTATTTGCCGGGCCACGTCCCAGAGTTTAATCTATTTGGCTTATTGCTGATATTGAGTCAGCCATATTTAATTTTAATTCATAGAGAGACTTGCTGCGGTGCCAAACAGCAACTCGATAAAGATCCTACAAGCCTGAGACGCAAACGCTCCAGGGAGGACATCACTAGCTGTTTGGTGGCACTTTGTGGCCTACATACCGTTGCTATGATTACAGGAGAACTCCGTCTTCTTGTGAAAAAAAAGAGCCAAATGTTTAATCTTTGTAGCATGTTGCCTTAAAGCCAGTTCCAGACCGAGAGGGTTTTTTTTAGAGTCAGGGAGACAGACAGAGAGGGAGAGGGAGAGAGGCGTTGTGGTGGGGAGGTGAAGAACGAAGGAATAGCCCTTTTTTTTTCCCTGAGTGACATGACCTCTCTGTTCAAAGGCCAAGCAAGAAATAAACGCTCCTAATCTGAATGGGGGGCGAATTTTTTTTTTCAGGTTTGAAATCTTTTCTTTTGAAATGGGATGAATTTGAAGTCAAGGAGCAGTTTCTCCTTCTGGGCAGCACAGGCTTTTAAGGAGGGCCCCCTCCCCCGGAGAAGCAAAAGCGTACAGTATTTTTTTTCTTCTTCCAAGGACGTTGTCTGTTTTGCATTTTTATGAAAATTAATTCTGTGTACGTTGACAAAATCATTAAAATTATGTTAGCAGACATCACGTGGGGGTTATTGGGACAGGCTGGACAGAGGGTGGACAGAGCCAGCAGGGGCATGCACGCTTTAAGACAGGGGGTCTTTATTAAGTTGGAGCATTTAGAGAAAGAAAAACGAATATCTTACAAAGCTCGCACTATACTACTGACAACAAAACCTGTCAGATCTTCACTCCTTCTTACTAGAAAGGAGACAGTGTCCTCATGTGAACACCTTTCAAAGCACTATTACAGACGTCTTTGTGAATACTCACTTTCTGAAAGGGAGTCTTAAATACAAAGGGCAGTTACGAAAATTCGCCCCAAGTAAAGTTTATAGGAAAGTTTCATTCACACTTTAAACAGCCTTTGTTTTATTATGATTATTTAACTTCATTGTTGCTTCGGAGTATTTATTGGTTCGGGTGAGGTTTCAGAAAGCTGAGCATATTTAAAATATTCTCTTCTGGTTGCTTTTTTTTAAAAAAGAGAGAGAAAAGGGGGAAAAAAATGTTGTTGTGGTTATTCTTTCTGTCCAACCAAACAATTGACCCCTGTTTACTAATTGTTGCTTTGCGGCTTATACATTAACGTCCCCTCGAACCATACATGAGATTGCTATGTGAAAATGTAACTCACGCTTTCCATAACATTAAAAAGACAGCAGCGAGGAAGGACAAAGGACAGTTTAATAAGCTATTACTGGACAGGAGCAATGTGGTGGTTTAATAAGAAACAAGAGGAGGAGGGGGAGCTAAAAACATTCAGGTGAAGTTCATTTTTTTTATGAACCACATCAAAGTACAGTTTGAAATCCCCTGCATTCAGCACCACGTATGCTTCGTAAAGTGGGGAATCTTTGTTTGATATATAGATGAGAGCATGAAGGTAAGGCGTGGTGTCACAGTGCACACTCTTCCTAACAGTGTACATTCATGCACAGTGAGGTTGTGTAATAGAAACAAGCATGCACTTCCCAATGTGAACTGCAAATCTTAAATCATCTCCTGCAGAATATCTAATTTACAGAATCACCTAATATGGAATTACAAATATTACAGCGCCGGCAGCATGAAATTAACACCTTTTACTAAAAGGAACATTTCGACAGACGTAATTCAGTCTCATTATGTTGTTTTCAATTGATCCCACTTCAGTCGCCTCTTTTTTCTCTGTGAAATTCTCCACTCATTTATCACCAATATTTCAGCATGTAGTACACCAGCAAAACCAAAGGACAAATCAGAATATAAGGCCATTGCCTCTCTGTAACGGGATTACAATTAGTGGACGTTGTAGCGCCACGTAATCACCAGATGAAAATACATCAGTGGAAATAATTCTGAGCGCCGCTGGCACCTTGTGGTTTTCTTTACGAATCTTATAAACTGCTGCTACTGCACACAACGTGCTTCCAGTGATATAAAGACTTTGCGGTGTACAGAAGCACTGATGTCGATATGGTCCTGTTTGTTGTTTTTACACTGTTTTGAAAATTGCATGTGCACTGGGCGAGTAACACAATAGTTTCCTGCAATGTTGGCTTTGTGTGTTAGCGAATCAGCGTCCCAGCCCCCACCCCCCCCCCCCACTCACCCCCCCCCCCCCACCCAAAAAAAGCATGAAGATTTAGTGTCACTGTAAATTTACACCAATTTGTTCAGAATTCCATTCAACATGGCATTGAAGCTAAACACACCTCACCCTGTGTGTGCTGTGACTTTTCAGGTGTATAGTTATCTTTTTTAATTATTTTCTTCCACTGGGGTCTCGCAAGGGACTTCATCACCAGTGACTGAAATTATCAAAATAATAACACAACACAATATGAGCCTGTCTTTCCCCTTACCTAAATATCTCGAAGGGGAAAACAAAGATAATTACCATAGAAACAGCCACTATCAGTCTTAAAAACAAGCTTTCTGATGGCCCGTGTTTCTGGGTTTACAGTTCTCCTCTTT